GTGCTGAGCTGGCTGAGCACAGAAGAGGCTGCTTGTGAGGAAGAAGAGACTTCCACCCTCGGATGTCTTCCAGGGGCTCTAGGTGTCAGACAGGGAACTTCCACACCTCACTTCACAGAGGTGAATGGAGCAGGCTTTAAAAATGTTACTAAAGTTAAAAACTAACATATTGTTTCAAAAATGAAAAACATGGAGAAACATGCAGAGCGAAAAGTCTTACACTGTTTAGTTTTCTACCCTTTCCCATTATGTCCCTTTCCCGTGCTCTGCAACTCTATACCCTTCTGAGGAGATCAGCCTGAGAAACACTTTGGTATCCAACGTGGCATATATTTAGAATGAACAAATAAACATAAGTTTATATATGTTTTAACTGCATGGATATATGGATATATCTACATTTTAATATCATACGTAAGATGTATCTGTGGTTGTTAATGTATGAGTTATGATGACAAACTACTGTGAATGCTTAAATTAAAAAACTTTACAGTAAAAGTCACACTGCCATTAATTTCCCTCAAAATCCTTCCCCTAGCTTCCAATACATTTATCCCCTTGTTCTTGCCACTTTCTGAAGCAGTTCTGGACCTTCTCTTTCCTGAGAGTCTTTAAGTTGTGCTGTCCGGCTGCCTTGATATCCTGAATTGATTCAAAGTGTTTCCCTTTGGGGTCATTTTGACTTTGAGGAAGAGCCCCAAGTCACACGGTGCCAGATCCGGTGAATAAGAAGGATGAAGACACACCATCATGTTTTTATTTGCTAGAAATGACCTTCAATGGTTGATCAACAAGTGTGATCAGACAACATGGTGAGTATTAAATAAGAAAAATTTTGTTGCAGTGAAAGGCACACTGCCCTTATTCAGCCACAAAATACTCGCCCTTGCTTCGAACATATTTATCCTGTAGTTCTTGGCAATGCGTCTTTTGCTATAATAAGTTTTTCTAAATTGAAACATTCCAGTGGTGTTCCATCATCTATATATATAGATGAATATGCGTCAATATATATAAATGTATTTATAGAGTGCTGTGTATATTTTATATTTAGCTTTAAATTGCTTTTCTTGTATGTATGTCATATGTATTTTAATTTGCATTGCTTTTTCACTTAATAAAATAACATGGATGTTTTTCTATGCCAGTGACCATGACACATATTTTGTAATGACAGGAAAAGATTCCAGAGTCTAGGTTTAGTTAACCATTGCCATGCTTTCTAATTTTTGCTATTTTACAAACATTGCTAAAGCTATCATCCAAAAATGCATTTTATGTTTTATCATTGTATGAAAGATTGCATTTAATTAATATATATTTTTAAACATAAAAATACAATTTCTTGGTCAAAGGTATGCATATTTTTAATTATCAAAAAGCCAAATGACCATTGTGACATAATATCAGTTTCCAGCCTAATAAATTTGTTTGAAAATGCCTGCTTCCTAATACTTTCACCAATTAACTGTAAAAAAATAGTTTGCTAATTAAAGGAGTGAAAATTCTATCTCAGCTTTTAAATGTTGGTAAATAAGAAACCTATGCATCTTTTATTCGGTTTCGTTGATTTTTTATTCATGTATATTTGCCATACATAATAGTTACATTCATTTTGGGAAATTAGTGCATATTTACGTTATACCTTGGTTATTTCTGATCTCATTATTCCCCTCCTACCATCCCGATTCCCTACTCCATTTGCATAAATGCTGCCTTTTTGTTTCCTACAATCTTTCCTTTATTTAGAAGAATGAAATCATAGAATTTGCAGGACAAAAGGTAGAACCTCAAACCATAATGTTAAGTGAAAGAAGTCAGACACAAAACTGAATATCATGGTTTCACTTACATGAGAAACCTAACATATAAACGAATTAAGGAGTGAAATAAAGGGAAAATGGTACAAAGCAAACAAGCCCGTGTATCTTTTTATGGATTCATTGGCTATTTGTGCTTATTTGGCTTAAACAGACTACAACTTTTGAACTTCTTTTCACCTCTTTCCTAACTTGATGTGTACAAAGACTGTTTAATTTGCCGAGCGAGCTGTTGTTGTAGTAAAATAATCCATTTAGAAAAGCATGTAGGTGGCGCTGGAGGAAACAGCAGGTATTTCCCCGGATGGTGCCCCCTCTCCTTCCCCACGTCAGCCCCTGAGCCTCTTTGGCCCCCAGCACCGGCTCTGCTAATCCCATGGCTGGAAGGACTCTGTGTATTCCAGGCCCAGGGAGGAGGATGTGCCAGGTGGCGGGTGCCCTCCCTCAACGGGTCTTTGCTTTCCACGCCTGGGCCCACTGAGGCAATTAAACTGGATTTGTCTGATGGGGCAGGGGATCAAAGGTTTGATGTTTTGATAACTGAAGAGGAGAAAAGCTCAACTTGAGAAGGGGAAGGCAAATTCCCCCGGGACAGGAGTTACAGGGCCCTCAGTGGCGGGAACCTGAGCTAGAGAGAGAGCAGCCCTTCTCAGCAGGGACTTTGGGACTACGTCAGCACCCAGAGGCTGGAGTCTTCACTACGGACCACCTAGGCTCGAGCGGGGGCTGGGCTGTGCATCGGCTGTGGATGGAGACTCAGAGTTGGCCCCATTCCCAGGACAGCTTCACAGGTGTCACCTAGCACTGTGGACGAAGGAAAGGTAACAAGTGACTCTTGGCAGTGAGTCCTCAGGCCATCACGGTTTTGGGTTAAACACACAAATGGGGCAGGGGCAAGACCACAGAGCAGGATGGAGGTGACAATGGACCCTGGAACCTTATAGCTAGGCTGCTTCTTCCCCTACTTGTGGGAAGTTGGGCAAGTTCTTTCACTACTCAGCCTCCTTGTTTTCTCATCTGTGCAGTGGACCAGTGGTGTCTGGCTTTTGTACATCAAGTACTCTGTGAGTGTTTGCCATGAATCCTGGGATCGCCGTGAGACATGCTGCAAATACCGTCTCAACTGTTAACTTCAGTGTCGTGAACTATCATCCCAAAGTAGAATGAGAGGAGTAGCTATTGTTGCTTTAATGGAGAATTTCTACACCTTTAACACAACACCAAGAACTGGGTAGCTTATAAAGAACAGGAATTTATTTCTCACTCTTCTAGAGACTGAGGAATATAAAATCAAGGCACCAGCAGCTTTATGGTCTGCTGAGGGCTCCATGGCTGCATCCAAGATGGCTCCCTGGATGCTCAGTCTTCCAGAGGGAAGGTGCACTGTGTCATGCAGTGGGGAAGGCCAGAGAGCAGCAGGGCCCAGTGCTGCATGAAGCCTTTTGTGCAAAGGTATTAATCCTATTTGCTGGGGGAGAACCCTAATAACATCATCACATTGGCTGTTAGGTTTTAACATCTGAAATTTGGAGGGGACCCATGAAAACCAGAGCAGCACCTATGTCACAGTTTGGGGGGTTTGTGCCTTTCTTAGGAGGCATCTCCCAAGTCTGCATGGCACACAGTCAGCCATGGTCACCTCTGCCCTTTGATTTGTTCTTTGTTTTCAGCTAGAGTTCCAGCATCACTTCCCCTGCTAACAGGTCTTGATGTTCCTGCCTCAGGCATCACGTCCAGGTCCCCAGCTTTGTTGAGATTCTAGAGCACACCTTGCCTTCTTTTCCCTTTGGCATCTCACTTGTCTTTTCTTGTACCCCAAACTCCATCCCATATTCCAGACTCACAGAGGCCTCTGAACAATCCATTAATGATGTCCAACGCACTTCTCTGTCACAGAAACAGGTTGATTTCTTTCCTAGCAAACCTCACAACTGGAGCAACAGGTTTATTACTTCCCTGCTGTCCAGCTCCCCAGGTAAGAGCCATTAATTCAGGGCCGATATCTGCTTTTCATTCTCTATGATTCGGTCAAGTGCCCAGAAAGGCCTTGGCACATGGATGTGTAATAAATCTTTCCAAAATGAAAGAACCATGAACTCTTCCATCTATAATTTACTTGGCAACAGGCATTTGATTACTTTTCTCAAATATATGGCTAAATGTAACTACATTCTTTGAGTAAAGCATCTTTTCTCTATTGTTTTGAAATGCCTTCTTCACTCTCTATTTGATTTTCTGGCCACTGATTCACAATTCTGAACTCTCTTTTGCTTACAATTCTTCACTGGCCTCTTCCTGGGCTAATAATACAGTCTTATTTTAATGATAGTACCTGGACAGTCATCTGCATTGCATTTGTAGGACAAGTTGCCCCTCCATTATTTTTAATTTTTGTGTCTATCCATGCACATTTTCTTTTCTGATGGATTTTAGTGCTATCTTGACAATTTCTGTAAAATATTTCGATAGAATGCATTACTTTTGTAGATTAAATGAGGGGCACTCAATATCTTGACACTATTCAAGCTTCTCCTCCAGAGCATTTTGTATGTTTCTACTATCTCATGTCTCTTTTTAAAGATACCACAGAGGGTTATGAAAATATTGGGTGAATATTTAATATTGATAATATTAATATTACAGTTAGACACACTGCCATTAATTCTCTTCAAATTACTCCTGCTTGCTGCATCTGCACTTATCCCATCATTCTTGCCACTTTTGGAAGCAGTTCTAGAAGTCCTCTTTCATGAGTAGACGTCTTTATGAGGTGTGATCAAAAATGTGGTGAATGCTGCTGCTTATGAGTATCATCCAATGGAAAGGCAGGCTCTTAAAAACATTACAGTGTGTCCTCATCCACCTATCAACTGGATCTGGTCTCCTGTGACTTCTGGATTTTCCCCAAAGTCAAAATGACTACAAAGAAGAAAGTTTTGAACTAATTTAGGACATTGAGGCATCCATGACAGGGCAACGAAAGACACTCATGAAAGAGAATTTGCAGAACTGCTTCAGGAAGTGGCAAGGATGATGTGATAAGTGTGTTCAAAGTGAGGGGAATTAATGAAATGTCTTTTACTGTAAATTTAAAAAATGTAAACATTCACCGATTTTTGATCACACCCCTTATCCTATCTAGGCTTTCTAGTTTCCTATATATAAGTCTTAGACCTCCCATATTATTTTTATTTCTCAATGTTTAAATGTAGTTTTTCACAGTGAATGGGGATTTTTTTACCCACCGCATTATTTTACAGTCTATAGTAACATCAAATTTAATTTTTAACCCTATGCTTTTTGGGATGCCATAGCAACCCATTATCAAATGTGTTCTGTCAGGTGCCGTGGAGGAAATATTTTCATATCTCCATATCTTGTTTTAATCATCACAAAGAGCTACAACTTGATATAACCATGATACAGGAAACTATATCATCGATCCAAACGGTGTCATCTATCCAGGGTCAAGGACTAGCAGTGGCTGGTGTGCAGCCTGGGTCCATGTGACGCTGGACACAGCCTTGTGTCACCATCTGTGCTGCCCAAGAAGAAGCCTCGTGGGAAGCAGACCTGTAGGTAGAACCTACACAATCACCATCAACAATTCCACTTCTGGATTTTCAGGAATGACTGGAATTATAATGTGCATGAAACCCAACCTCATAGCCTGGGGCTCGTACCTATTTGGAAGTGCTCATCAGGGGATAGTGCAGCTACTGCACACATACCTCCACTGGTGGGGTGCTCATCACCCCACAGGGCAGCCCACTGAATCTCCGGACACCCCAGGCTGCCAGAGCAGCCCTCCTCAGGTTGACCAAAGCCTCGTTTCCTCTGATCTTCATTTCTGCAACTGGAAGCCATTGCTCCCCATGCCTGCTCCTTAGAGCTGGCATTTGTTCAATGGAGACTTTCTCTGGAGGCTTTAAGCTGCCTGAGGACAAAGCCTGTGTCTGTCGGTCCCTGTATCCCAGCGTAAGCCTTGGAGAAACTTCTCAGTAAACATCTGCTGACTGAGGTGATGAGCTGTATCTCTGACTTACCCAGGGCAAGCTTGTACCCACTCCTGCTTGGTGGTTCTTCTGTGCTGAAGGTGATTTGTTACCAGGCTTCTCCTTAGGTGCACGCAGGAGAATATTGTTCTCCGCATGGCCTCTGTGTGCAACTCAGTTTGCCAATGTCCCTATTCGAGTGTGGCATGGGTGGCCCCACTGGCCTAGGTGTTGTCTGAGCAGACCTAGGAGAGAATCATCTTGCACTCTGGGCACTTTCTAGCCCGCACTTCCCTGGCAATCACATGATTTTCCAGAGTCCTTGTGCACAGCCCCTGGGACCAATGCAGCAAAGATCCTACATCGTTCTGTGAATGTTACAAATGCCATGAATCACAGTCCATTCGGGTAGGGCTGGGGCTCTCCTTCTCCTGCCAGAGCCTGGCACACCAGGAGATGTATAGACAGCACAACACCTGCTTTAGGATTAGGCACGTTCCTTGGTGGAACTGTCTGGCCGTCTCTCTGCTCAGAGACACTGCATGCACCAAGGTATTCCTTCAACTGTGAGAAGCAGGACCATTGAGTCTGCCTCCTCAGTGCCAGGTCCCTGGGTCCTGGGAAGGAAGCACAGCTAGGAGCTAGAGCTGGCTGTCTGGCCACTATGGAGGGGCCGCACTCCCAGACACAAGGGAACAATGCGGCTCTTGGCGGGGGCCCGAGCTAGGGCCAAGAGGAACACTCCTTCCCCTGTCTCTGTTTGGCTCAGAACCCCAGGACAAAGCAAACATTGTGCAGAGAGCAGGCGTGTGAATGAAAGGCCCTGCCTTGTCCAGCAGGAAGGAGCCCCAGGGAGGGAGTGTGTGTGTGTGTGTGTGTGTGTGTGCGTGCGCGCGCGCGCACGCATGCGAGTGGGAGCAAGCAGGGAGTGGGGCAACTGAGCAGTGGGACTGACAGAGCAGAGGGAGGCCAGACCCAGAGACCAGGGCACAGAGAAAGCACAGTCCAGGCCCAGGGGCTTGGGGAGGGGCTGAGGAGCGCAGGACAGCAGGCAGCGAGGACACAAACCTGGAGAGAGGTGACGTGAAGAGATGGAGAGGAACGAGACCCCATGATTCTGACAGAGGGGACATTGGCAGGAGGGGAGGGGGATGCTGCTGGCACCGCATGGCCACGGTCGCACCTCAACCTGTATTAATTTTCCAGCCCCAGCTCCTGCACTGGTGCCGATCTATGGGCGCCTCTGGGGCTCTTGGTGGTGGGGCAGAGACCTGAGTCCCAGCGAAGTTGGTGCTGCCTGAAGTCCACGAGGCTTCCTGGTCTGTGATAGCAATGGGAGGATAACTGCAAAGACAGGAAGGAACCGGGGCTGCCTCCCCTCCAACAGCAGGGCTGGCTGCACCCGCAGCCAGCACCCTGCACTAGACCACCAAAGCCTCGGTCTCTGTATGCTGGGTGGTGCTGTGCTTAGAGTTCGCCATGTGGCATGTTGGGGGCTCCATAGTTAGTTAGCCTCTCTGTTAAAAAAACAACAATAAAGTAAAACGTGGGATGAATGTCCAGAGGACTCACTGATCACCCGATGGAGGTCATCGCGTGTGAGCCGAGCTGGAGTTTCAGGCCCCCTTGACCTTGGCTGAGATAGTCAGCTCTGTCACCATTCTCTGTGTAGCAGCTTTTCTTGGGTTCTGTGGAGAATGTGGCCAAAGGCAAAGCAGCACCAACCCCTGGATGGAGCTGCCCTGGTCGCCCACCTCCCGTTGGCTGCCACTCCCAGCCTCGCTGCCCTGACCTCTCTATCTGCTGGAGTTTCTCATACAGAGCTTAGTTTTTAAGTTGCTAATCAAGCTTCTCAAGGTACACTTGAGAGCGTCTTGTATGGGAAATACCTGTGGCTCCAGTTCCAGATCTGCTCTTTGGCATCCCATGGCCCTGGGTTTCTTCCCGGAGCCTTAAGAAAGGAGGTGACACTCTTCCTAAAGTGCTGTTGTGAGAGAAGACTGGATGCAAATGTGATGCACTTTGACTCCTGGAGATGGACAAGCCACGAGGAAGAACATCCTGCTCTCGGGAGAGCCCTCCCGGAGGGCCCAGAGTGTGCCTGGGTCCACAGCAGAGCAATTGTCCCCAGACACAGTTTCTCAAACAGGACAGCATCTCTGGCACTGTCCCATCCTCTCCCCAGGACCTGGTGTTCTAATACAGAGACCGACTACAGTTACTGAGGGTGACGGATGGAAGCCACCACCACTCAGAGCCAGTGTGGCTCACAGCTGACTGCAAAGGCAGCCACCAGGGTCCTGCCAAGGCCTGATGGCACCTGGGGCCCAGAGGCAGAAAGCTGCTCCCCACCAGCACCGTAGGATCCAAGAATGAGGGGCTCAGGCTGGGGCTCATGTTGAGCTCACGGCTTATCCCACTTACTCATGTGTGCAGGTTCCAGGCGGCTCCTGAACATGAACAGGCCCAGGATGTGCTGGGAACGTGTTCTACATTAACCCCCAGCTGGCAGCAGTTACAGCGAAATTAGGAAACACTGAAGCCAAACTGTCATTTTTCTACAGTTAAACCGCTTCAGATTCAAGCTGTGAGCATCTGGGGTGGAAAGGAAGGGGTGGGGGCTGTGGCCTTGGCCTTGACCATCGTGCTATGATTCTCACTCACAGATAGATGCTCATTCTAGAGCGCTGGCCCAGGCTCAGCCCTGACCCCGGGGAGGCACGATCAAGGAAAAGCCTAGGGACACTAAAGCTCACAGGCTCATAGTACAGGGGTAAAAAGCCCTTCATCCTTCTAATGCAGTCATATTCAGTTAAATTTTTGATGGAAACAATTTGATATTTGGAAACACTTGTGAGAATTAACAAGGAATAATACAGAGGAATCTGTACAGATTTGTCTGGTTTCTCTCTATGGCAATATTTTGGAAAACCGTGTAGTTTCACAATAATGTTACAATCAAAGTTCCCCAGTTTAACTTATACATATTCTTCTTGTGTGTATTTAGTTTCAGACAATTTTATCACATGTATAAACTCAAATACTCACCACCAGAATTGGGATGCTAAGGGTGTCCATCATCACAAGATCCCTGCGTTGACCTCTTATAAGCACATACCCCCCTTCCACTTCATTTCTCTGTCACCAAGCCCTGGGAATCATTGGTCAGTTTTCCATCTGTACCATTTCACTATTTCAAGAATGCTGTATAAATATGGTCATGTAGTATGTAACCTTTGGGGTATTGGGCTTATTTCTCTCAACATAATTCCCTCAAGATTCATCACAGTCCTTGGATATATCCATAATTGATTTCTCTTTCTTGCTAAATAGCATTTCACAGTATGAACGCCTTGGAGTTTGTTTAACCATTCACCTGTCGAAGGACATCTGGATCTTTTCACGTTTTGGGCAATTATGAACAAAGCTGCATGAATATTCATGCCCAGGTTTATGTGTGAACATACGTTTTCATCCCTAATTATTTTCGCATCAAGGTTCAGCGTGTGCCCAGTGGGAAGGAACTGAAAGTTGAGGACAAGAGTCAAAGTCTGCTACTGACCAGTAAATTTGAAAAATGAGGCTAAATATCCTTCCTACAAAATTGCTTGGTGGATTAAAAACTGTGTATGGAAATATTCTCACTTAGAAGCCTATAGGAATAACATTAACACTGCTACTGTATTTCTATGTCCAATGTAATTTTCTTTTGACTAGAAAGGAGAGTCAATAACATATACTAACATGAAAAAAAGAAACCCTTCCCACAAGCACATCTAAAGGAAACAACTAGAAATTGTCTAAATAAGCTCAAGTATTTTCATCTGCAACAGATGACTACATGGAAATAACTGTTTTAGCAAAGTAGTACAGGAGTTTGATTTAAGACCGGGGAGGCTCCATAGAGTCTGACATGTTGAAAGCTATGCAATGTGGGTACAAAACTGGGCTCTCTGAGGTCCATAATCTTTTTTTTTTTTTTTTTTGGTACTGGGATCTAACTTGGGACCTTGCACTTGTGAAGCAGGCAGCAGAAACACGGAGCTGGATCCCTGGCCCTGAGACCATATTCTTCAGTGTAACAGGGCGATACGGCAACTGCTTTGCCAGAGGGCTGGTTAAAGTAGATGATACCTAAGCACTCAGCGTGGTGGTGGCTGATACCAAGTGAGTCTTAATACGCAGCTTTAAAATACAAAACGTAATTGTCTTTTTCTTTTGGCCCTGGCAAGTATAAGCCTGAAAATCTGCCCTCAGTAAATTATCCAAAATTAAGAGAAAGCTTCACCTTTAAAATAATTTAATGCTCATTCACATATTGGATTATGCAATAAATATTGAAGAATAAATGTGAAACATAGGAAAAATATCTCAAAATATCAGCTATTTCTCAGTATCTTGTTTTAGGTTTAAAAAAGTAAGGCCCACAATTGTCCATAGCAGTGTTCGAGGCAGGGGAGAAAAATGTAAAATCTACCCATGGCAATATCGGGATGTTAGAAGATTTAGTCTTATGTTGACAACCCTCTGATTTTATAAATCGTCCACAATAGTGGATGCTAATTTTGCAATCAGAAGGGAAGATTAGTTACAGTATCCTACTGCAAAGTCTGATTTTGCATGCATGAAATTACACCACTGGGGATGGTAGTAAAGAGTAACTGGCCATCTACGAGGAACCCAGCAAGTGGAGACTGATGTCATTCACAGCTGGAACATCTGAAGGGCCTCCTGCAGCAGGAATAAGCAGGACAGTTATGAGGGCACATTCTGTCACGCTGCAGGCTTAAGGACAGGTGGTTAATCTCTTCTTGGTCCCCCATGTCTGGTGATGACAACCCCTACTTCGAGGACTGCATTGAGAGTAACCTAAAGGGGTTAATATAGTGCCCAGTGCAAATATATGCATTGCTTAAGGACTGGTCACTAAGGGCGACCAAAGGAAAATTTAGAGTGTATTATTGTCTGATAAGAAGGGACTGCAAATGAGGACTAAGAAAAAATTTTAAAATTATAAAATATTAAATAAAATTATATAACTTACAACAATGAAAGAGGAAGCCAGACCTGTCTGTTTCTGGGTGTCTTTCCTCACAGAATGGATGGCATTTCTTCTGCTTGGCTTTGCTTCCTCCTCTGTGGCTGGGTCATGTGATCAGTGGTGGCAGAGCCTCCTCCTCTCTTTATGTGGGGATTTTGGACTCAGGAAGTGCTTAGTCCATTGCTAAGTACCCCGAGGTCTTGAGAAAGTGGCTTCTCTACTTTGTCCTTGATTTCCCTATTTGTAAAGTAAGGATTAAGGTCAGAAACAATTTAAAAGGTTTTTCTTGTTGTTTAATTTAATCCACAGAAAGTGCTTGGCTCATGGTAAGTGCTCCAAAAACAGGACCCACTGTTTTGATCATTACTAACAAGTGGCATGGAATGAGTTGTGCCTAAGTGATCACTGGGTCCTAGGAAGTCCTAGGATGTGACGGTAGATGATTTATCCAACATATATTTATGGAGCATCCACCATGTGCTAATAATTATTCTGCACACAGGGGATGAAGTGATGAGAAGAGAGGACAAATTCTGGCCCTGAGGCCTCACAGTCTCAGTGGACACATAACCCAACACCCATCCCAGTTGGTGATGAAGAGACAGGAAGAAGGTGGAACAAGGGCAGGGCATAAAAAATAAAGAGCTGTCTAGAAGCTTGATGGAGAATGTTTTAGGACATAGAATATCCCCGCACTATCACTGCTATGGTTTAAATCTGGGGTGTCTCCCAAAAGCCTCATGTGTTTTAGGAAGGTGATTGGATCATGGGCGCATAATACTCATCGGAAGATTCATCCACTGATGAGTTCTCAGCTGAAGGTGCTGTTGGGAGGTGGGTTGGGTCAGAAAAGTCAGGTGGCTGGGAGCTCGACCTGGGAGGTGCATCTCCCTTTCCTGGCTCCCCCTTCCCTCTGCTTCCTGGCCACCATGAGGGGAGCAGTTTCCTCCACTGTGCTCCTCTGCCAGGACGTTTCTGCTCTGGAGCCAGCTGACAAGAGATATTAACTGTGAACCGATATAAACCCCTCCTGCATCAAGTTGGGATGTTGGGTACTGTGCCTCAGTGACAGCAAAGTAGCAAAAACAATCACTTTTCTAAAGCCCAAGACATCCTGAATCCTAAGGATAACGGATTTAGGTGGGAGATCTGAGGTCTGTGGAGGAACTTCTGGGTACCGGAAAGATTGTCCTTTAATGTTCAGCTCTCACCGAGAGCCCTGGGCAGCAGCAGAGTAGATGTGGCATTAGAAGCATTCGGGAGGAGATGGAGGCTCAGGGACCTCAGCTCTTTTGTCCAAGGTTGCTCTGAGGTTGAAGGTCTAAGCCAGGGCTTGGGTCCCTGTCCAGGTCTCTGCTCTGCCCGCATATTCCTCGTACACTAGATGTGCAAGATTCAGAACCTGTCAGGGCAGAGCCACAGGCAGAGCTGGAGCACAGCGCCCTCTTGGGATCCTGAGCTGGATGGAGGCAGGAGCTGCTTTTGGGTCAGGAGAGGGGTAAACCTCGGACTGAGGCGCTCTCACCATTTCCCATGGGTGGGGGAGTCAGGGTCACTGTTAAATATAATTACCGTGCACGAGGTGAATAAATGGCATTTTTATCCTGTGTGCTCTTGTGGAGAAGAGGAGGCCCTGCCGTGGTCCCCAGGTCACCTAATCCCCCTGTGCTTTTATCCTCCAGTGAGTCTGAGCAGATGGAGGCCAGGGCTCTCGGGTTACCTGTCTTCCCTTTGCATGCAGCATTTTCTTTCTCCTGTGTTGCTGCGTCCTGCCCCTTCTCTTTTCATCACTGCCTCCTTCCTCCACTCCCTAGCTCAGCCCAGGACCTTTCTACATTTGGACATGGTAACCCCCTAAAGGGCAAGTCTGGGGCCCTATGCTCTTTCCTGTTCTGAACTCAGAACTTCTGCCCAACAGAGTTGCTCCAGCCTGCAGCATGGGGCCGGGGGCAGGATAGACGCTTTCAAAATGCCACTGCACCACTCACACCAACAGAGCCCTGAGTGCTGGTCATTCTGAAGAACTCTTCCTTTGATCTTCAAAGGAGTACCTGGTACAGGGCCCAGATGTGACCCCTGCATGCTATAGAGCAGGGATAAGATGCTGAACCTGTGTGTGTGTGTGTGTGTGTGCCCCCGCCTCGTCCATCATTGTGTTGAAGGTCCTTATAATGCCCTCAAAGGACCCAGTGACAGAGCAGCTGTTCCTCAGAAAGCTTGGAGGGAGCAGGATCCAGGTCAGCTCTGCTATCACATTTCCCAGCTGAGGGCACAGGGCTGCTGTGTGCATCCTATGGTGGTCAGAAGTGTTAGTGAGTGGCCAGCTCACAGGACCAGCGGGCTTGGGGTCTTAAGATACTCAGGGACCCTAGTGTCCCCCCATAGCATCAGAGACCAAGTTTTGGAGCCACAATTAGAGCGCCTGCTGCAGGTTGGTCTCCGTTTCTCCCAGAGGGAAGGTCCCCCGAGGGCCCAGCTTTCCGTGTCTACATTAGACAGGCGATCT